TTTTTTTCCCAACCGTACTGCAGACTATACATAACCACGAAACTAATTTGTCCGAAACAGTGCAGCGCCATTATATTAATAATTTTTTCAAATTGTTGTCGAGTGTTAAAAATTGTGGTTTCACGCACGTATTACGGCACTGATAGTTTCACAATTAGTTGTTCAAATATAAATAGAGCGGTGTCTAAATATAAACAACGCCCGAACAATACAACTTAAAGTATTCATCAATATAATGGCGCACTATACGGACAATTAATTTCGTGACTTTACGTACACACCGCTGGCCATTAAAATTACAACACCAAGAAAGACATGAAATAAAGTACTATTTTTATACGGCAGATTATTTATTATACATGGAGTACCTACGTGGGATTTAGAAGTGCAGCTTGAAGTATTTTTATTAGAAGTAATAACTCATTTTCATATTTTATGATCTATTTTCATATCTTACCTTGACCTAATTTATCCATAAATCCATTCGGTTCGATGTAACGCGTTTTTTTCTGTTTCAATTTTAATGGCCAGCATGAGTGTATATTAGCCTGCCTATAAAAGCAAAATATTCAACATAAAATGACATGACATTACGACAACATTATATCGATTAAATCCGATTTGTGTCACGAACGTGTATAACATCCCTATTGGCGGAGACAATATTATGATAGTTAACAATCTTAAGGTACACTTTATGTAGCCGCATGCGCACGACGGTGTATTTTTCGTAGCCCACGATATTTTTTCCCCCTCGCTCGAGAGCGGAGTGTGTGTTTTCCGAGGTGGAAAGCCGCGAAGTTGTTTACACTGTTGTCCCGATTTTGCGTCCGCGTGCTTTCCGCGGGAAGTAACGGCCGGGGGATAATGGACGATATTTCCGGGGAACTTTGTGCAACCCCTCGTGTATCCCTCTCTCATCGGCGTAACGACGCGCGGAGCAGCGAAATTTCCATAGCGCGGATTAATGCGCTCCTCTGAACCGGAAGTGGATAACGAATCTGTTAAAATTGCGCCACTCCTGCTTGGGGAGGCGCGCTACTTGGTACGTCGATTTGATCGTTTTTGTGCGCCGATCAACGATCGGTGCGTCGCTCCGAGGAAGCAGGTATAACAGCGCCGGGGCAACGCAACGGCGGGATCTCGATGAGAGCCTCGATAATGAGCGGATCTGCGAGAAAATCGAAATAAATGCGCGATACAGCGGCGGGAATTCGAGATAAACGTTACATCATTTGCGCGGAATTCAACGTTGTACATTAATTTTAGCGATTAAATTAACATCATCAATCAGAATTCATTTTGCTTGATTATCGCAAAATGTATATGTATATTTCTCGGTGAATCGATAATGATAATTTGCATATTTACGTATTCCCGTGTATCTACCTGTTCGGCGCGTCGCTTTTTTGAAAATTGCCTATCTACGCGTCCACGTTCAATCTCGTAATATACGGTATTACTAAAAAGAAATACGTTACATCCTCTTCTCTCTCTCTAAAAAAAAAAATAAAAAAAAATTATTCGCTAAAATATCGCCTGGTGTTCTGAACTTAGTCGTTAGCGTGGTGTAATTGAGCGGGAGGATAATACTGACGAAACTTCAGCAGGTCAATAATCGCGGTGCGTCGAATCGTCTGCCCCGCGGCTAAAAGCTTTGACCTTGCACTCCGGCGGAGAGAGAAAAATTTATTCATGCACACGTCGGGGAAGTTTTCTACATATTCTCTCGCGCGCGAGGTTGGAACAGCCTCGCCCACACGCGGGACGACGGGTCACACCCATTTAATTTCGCGCGGTTTCTCTTCCTCCAGCTCTTCCTCCTCCGGGTTTCTTCGCCCGTCGCTGTAATCACCTCTGTCTTCCGCTCTCCATTCACAACCTTCCACAATCCTCGACGTGATCCGCGCGCGTTGCGCTCCTTCTGGTCCTCATTATGCGTCATTTATTCTTCGCGCTCTCGTCGCCTCTCGCCTCTCACCGAGAGGAAAAGAGAGACAGAGAAGGCTCAAAACAAGAAAGGAGCAGTCGCTACACTTTCTTCAGGTTTCTTATTAGACACTGTCTTATTAGACACTGTCAAATGATGCGATCACGCACAATAACATTTCTTGATTTTTCCTAAACGACGCTTGATATGAAAGTTTTGTCGAATTTATGTATAGGGATGAAAGTATTTTACCTGACTGCATACAAATATTCTACATTTTCCTTCCACATTTTAATATTATTATCTAATTTAAATATTAATTTAAAGTTCCGCGAGCAGAGAAGGGGGGAGGAACGCGAATGAAATTTTGAAAAAAATATATGTATACTTATTGTGTTAGGTAGAAAGTCTAGAGAATATAAGAAGATGAGTTATTTTCTACGATATAAAATTTTTATTCTTCCTTTATGTGCTCTAGAAGATTTTCCTGTACACAACGTGTGTGTCGATCGCGAAGATCGAGCGGTTGCTATGTATTCTCGTTCGGTATACAAGTCACGTACAAACGCGGCAGTTGACCACAACAAATGTAATTTTCCTCCGCCGAATTGCAATCTTGCGCCGCATCCAAGTCCACAGAATAGTGCGACGCTATAATGAAACTACGCGAATTAATCAATATATTCATTTACAGTATATTCTAAGCTCGAATTCTAGGAAGATTTAAAGGCGTTATAAAGTGTAGTAGTATGAATATTTAAATGAGATGGATAATGCGTAAATAGATTACGTTAAATTATTCAGCCTTGGCCGTAAGTATAAAGAACCCCCAGAAATTGACGTAAATGTTTGGTATCTAACGAAAAATAAATTAAAAAGGAACAGTTTTATTTAAAAATAATATTTATAAAAATAGTACTTTTATGACAATTCTAATATTTTGTTAGTTCTCCTTTGGCTTTTATTACCACCTGTTCCGAGAAAATGCAATAAATTGAGGATGCTTTACACTTATTATGGTTAAAGCTGCATATAAATTATACCAGGTTTGTGTTAGATAATTAGACAAGCTATATTGTCTAGATCTTTTGCCACGTCGTTTCTACATGTTCAACTTTATCTCGCTCCCTCAATGCGGGTATAATCGTTACAAGTCCAAAGCACTGAAATATTTCGTGCAATCTGTCGTGTCAGCTCCCGCGCAGCGAAATACTTGGCGTTCCCGTGCATTCTTACGTGGAATGCGACCCGCGTCTACGCGTACGCGAGAGAATCGCGGGAAAGAACGGAAAAGGGAAGAGCGCGGAGATGGAGAGGGGGTGCGAGATGCATTAGAGAGCTTAGGTGCGTTGCCTTCGCATTTCTTGGCAAAACGTAAAACGACATTATTGTCCCAGATCCAGATTGGCTCCTCGTTGCACAAGGAAGGCCGTGGCCCGCTTTTCGCTCTACCAATTCGCCGAAATTTGTATTATGATTCGAGAGCGACTGCTATAATATTGAGGGGGAAAAAGGCATATTTCTCTCTCGTGTTTCGTAAACAAATCTGCGAAATCCTGAGGAAACTCGAACGTCGAGCACGAATCGTCTATTTCGAGAATTCTCGTCGCAACTTCGAGGCTTGTGAATCTTACCTGAAATTGATACATCGCGCGCATAAGTAAAACTGCTCATACGGCGGAAAAGTAGGTGACGGCGGTTTCTCCCCCGCGGCTCAACCCACATGGTCCCGCCGGATCAAAATCTACGACGGACGTCCTTGCTCTGGTCTCGTGCCAACGCGCGCTGCTTTCGCTTCGAAAGTTACTCTCTCGGTGCTCGATCAATGTCCTACGTCGCCGAGATCATACCTTCGTACCTGCGTACCGGTACACACACACACACACACGGTGTGGGCCATCGGGTACGCGATTATCGAATTACGTCAATTTTCCGATACCTCTGCCGGGACATTTCGCGACATAACGACGCGGCAAGCGGAACGCTCTCCTGAATTCTAACGACATTAAAGTTAACTCGCTTCTTCGCAAAAGGAAGAAGCGCTCCACCGTCTCTCTGCCGTCTGAGAGGTCCCTTCCGAGGGAAGCGCTTTCCGAATGCAATTCCGGCGCACACTAAATTGCCCGAACGAAGAAATCTTTTTTTCGATTTTTGCCAACTCTCGTCTACGGACAGCGACATACGAGAGTCCGCATTATGATCAAATACCGCATCTCTTTATCGCTGAAAAAGCGTACCTTTGCGAGAATAAATATGCAAATTATTTGAACGATCAGAAAGACGATTTCTCGCTGATGCATCTTACATTAGAATTATTCGAGCCGCTGTTGATCTACGGCGGGTCCGTGAGGTCGCGCCGAATGTTGTTCCGACGAAGTTTGCGTCGAGTCGGGGCAAGAAGAGCTTTAAGTTCATCCAGTGTCCAAGCGGGCATGAGCAAGCAGCAACGAAGATTCCGACGTTGAAACTAAAGCTCGTTGATTACTTTCTTGGGCAATAGACAGTCGAAAACTTGTTGATTACTTTCTTAAACGCTTCCTTAGGCAGTCGTAAAATGTTTTTTTACTTTTGTTTTATCTCGCGCTGCGCAAAAGTAACCTTTCCGCGTGAAAGTTTCCTAATTGTATCACCAATTTACGCCTTATAGCTTTTTAATTACCTTTTTAAGGACACACATTTTTTTTATTATACTTATTTAGTTGCGTGCATCGCATGTATAGGTATATATGTATGTATATACCTGTGTACCTATTTATTTATTTATACAGCCTTGGCCATAATTGTATAAAGCACCCTCAAGTTATTGCATTTTCTTGGAAAAGACGATAATAAAAGCTAAAGGAGAGCTAACAAAATATGAAAATTGTTATATAAATATTATTTTTTAATAAAACTGTCTTTTAATTTATTTTTTGTTTACGCCAATTTACGCACCTATGTACATACATGCACATGTTTTAATACAAAAGAATCCATTTTCAAATTTACATCCTCGCAAATTTTTTGTCTACCCTCCAAGGCAAATTTCTCTCTTTTTCTCTGACACGTTCTTGTTGTTTCTATTTTACAGCAACGGCGACCAGGTGACAACGAGAGGACCGTGACGCACGCAGCCAAACAATCGACTGAAAATGGCCAAGAGCGCTGAAAGATTGCCCGGTACTTCCACCAGACTTAGGACCAGAGACGACGGTTGCTGTTCCGTGAATTTCTTGAAATACGTTCTTCACATTTACAACGTGGTGTTGTTTGTACGTACCGTCTATTTATCCCCGGCGTGGCGCCTAGCACGCGCGTAAGAAAGGAATATTTTATTTCGGAGACACACACACACACACACACACACATATCTACTTACGCAAAAGAACAGAAATGCACGCGTTACAACACAAATGAAAGACGCGGACCGTGAAATCCGCTGTCCCGCTTCACGAGAGAATCTCTCCTATCTCAGCTATGCATTGGTCCTCCCTACACTCTCCGACGAAGTTACTACTTTTAATTCAAGTCTCGTTTTTCCAACCGGTTTATACAGTCGTAGGAAGACTTTCCGTTGCGGAAAGACAGTGGAATCACTCAACGAGAGCAAAGTACTGAGGCATTCCATTTTTTCTAACTTTTTACTATCAACATCTTATGCGATTCTAAATATGATATAAAGTCTAATATTATCAATGAAGAGAAGCAATGCCAATCTTATTAAAGGAGCTTATGCATTTTAGGCAGTTTGGGAAGAGATCGTTGCGTTCACTTTTTTTCTTACTTGCTTAATCCATGAATAGTTAAAATTGTCTCAGCATTCAAAAAATTTATTTTTTTTACATTTTAAAGAAAGAAAATATTTTATCACTTTTGTCGAGCTATGCCAGCGAATTTCTCTCAATCGATTTTTATTAAAACCGTGGCTTTTACGTGCACTAAAGAATCACAAAGTGATAAAACATGTAATTGTTTTCTTCTGTTTGAAATGTGAAAAAAATATTTTCCGGGTACTAAAAAAATTTTAACTACGATTTTTGAATTCAATAAAATAGAGTAAAAAAAAGATGATCCCTGCGTGCTCCCCAAAAATTGTCTAAAATGCATAGATTCATTTAAAAAAATATTGATAGCATATTGTGTAAATTTTTCGTAAAAAGAGACAATTATTATGAATGTTATTACAAAAGACAATAAGCGCACGCATACACACACAACATATTAATATAGGAGAAACAACCGAGATATTCTATTACACGTGGCGTTTGATATTCAATATATTAATTCAATTACTGCATCAGTACTTAACAGTTAAAGAACGCGTCTGTCAAAGAAAATGCGATATAGAACGGCAAAACATCCCATAACAGCGCTCTACCTGCGAACGCTGAAGTGACTGTCATTGAAACAGGAACGAAAATGGTGCGCCATTATTCGACAATTATTCTCGTCCGCCTTTCAGTTTCGCAATTTATGGGAGATTAAAACGGCGAGTGAACGGGATTGCTCGTTGTGTCGTGGGGCTCACATTTATCGTAAAGACGAGCGCGTTCTCGGCCGTCACTTCGCCGGATGTCCGGCGAGCTTTTGCAATCACCGGCACTCGCTATAACCGAGCGCGCCGGTTATCTGCCATTAATTGTTATCGCGAATACCACGCGCGCTTCTGGCGTGAGTTAAATTAACAGGTGGATCGAGAGAGAGACAGAGAAAACGAGAGAGAGAGAGGAGGAAAAGGAACGGAGAAGAAAGGAGGAAGAGAGAGAACGAGAGAAAATCATCGCGCATGGGAGGACTTTTCAAACGAACGTTTCTTTGATCGCGTGCGTGCCCTCGATTCCATAAGAGAACTTTATTGTACGTGGGACGGAGGGAGGCCCGAGGGATTAAAGCGCAAAGGCGCAAGAAATAATCTCGGATCCCCGCGCTACGTCGCGCCGTAACGGCTCTCGCGGCGAATAATTGGAGCGCGGAAGGGCGGATATTGCGCCGGAAGAACGGCGTTTCGCATTAATCGAAAGGGAAGCTTTCACGCTCGTATCGCGGCTAATTACATAATAATCTCGTGTACGATGGATAATCGTACAATACAGCGCATCCCGCGCGCGAGTCATTAATCTCGCGCAATAAATTAACGTTGATCATTCCGACGAAGGTATATCATGTTATGCAGAGTGTAAGGGAAGGGAGAGAGGAGGGCAAATAGTGGGATAGTAGGATTTTTTCCTCTCTCTTCTACAAGCTAATTTCAAGTTTACAAGATATGATTTTTCACTAAAAGAGTACTTTTCACTTTCAAATGTACAAAAAAAATGTACTTTTTCCTTTAAAACTTTACTAAGAGAAATAAAATTAATATATAACCATAGGAATTATATCAAAATAGTGGAAAAAGGTACCGTATAACATAGAATAGGTTAGATCTCATTCAACGATTTAGCAGTTAAGAAAATATAACTTCAAATATAAAAAAAAAGATCCAGGTTTTACCTCATTTCACGAATTTTAAACTTCTCCACTAGCTATATTTGGCTTTTGATTTTTACTGCTTTTTCAGAAGATGATTAGATGCATGAGAACTGTCTTTCTATTAACGAGTAGTGGTAAAATAGACGCGGAAAAGAGGAGAAATTTAAAGTGACACTATTTGCCCCTGTCATTTGGGCCCTCTTTCCTTATCGAAAAATCGCAGCAGCAGCAACAACAGCAGCAGCTGTTCGCGACGAGGGCTCCAGATTGCCGCGGGATTGTTGTACGCTCGCGCTCGGATTACGAGGGTAAAGAGGTTTCCTTATTTTTCGAAAAATGCGACACCTCCGTGCCACTTCGAGCGATCCTCCCTTCGTCCCTCCTCTTCCCCCTCCACCCCTCTGTCTCGATATTACAAAAAAATGAGGTATATACCGACGTCGACGCTCGCGCGAGGTGATACATGCCGTAAAATGCTAATAAAGTCCTCGTCGTAAAGTGCAGACACCTTGTACGTTGTCTGGAATATAAGCACGCCGCGCAACGACGCGCCAGGCGCTTTAAAGAGTGGTCGAAAGAAAAAAAAAGGGAAATGAAAGAGAAAAAAGGGCAGAACGAGGGAAAATCGATCGATGATCCAGGCATCCTATCGGCTTTATAATTTCGATCCTAAACGTCGGCACCTCGTTAAAAAGCGCGTGATGCCGATGAATGATTTTGTGATAAAGTAGATGAGATTCCCGAGACCGAGCGGCGAGATTGCGATACGACGAGAGTCATCATCGTCGTCTTCCCTCTTTTTTTAGACTCCGTCTGCCGAAATCATTTTACTTTCTGATGATACTCGCTGTCGAATCTCTTGATCGTCGAAATGCCGGAACTTTTAATGGAGATTATTATCTTCTAATTAAAAGTGGTCGGCAGATCTCGCGCTCCGTCGATTTGCGAGAAAAAAAAAAGATTCACTGCGAATCTTAAGAATAAGTCTTGTGACTTGAGGATATAGTTTTAGTTTACTTACAGGGAAGGTTCGAATATTTCTAAAAATCTTAAACTTTACAGCACAAAAATGAAATGAAACATATCAACCTTTTCATAAAAGCAGCAAAGCAGCAAGTTCGCGATAGCATGTAACATATCTATTACTCGACACCAACTCGCGTATCAAAACGCGAACGTGTGAATCTCGCCGGAGTGCCGACGACGCGCATTCCTCCGCTTTCGCTCGCGCCACTGTGCATCAGCGTAAGTCGCGTTGAATGTGCGCGGCCTTAAATGTCTGCCCGTAATAAGGCTCAATAATGCGGGCATAATGCAACAATAACCCGCTGCGAACAATGCCGGCGCAACAATGCCCGGGCCGCTTAACACGTGCGTTTACGCCCATTGATTGCATTCAGAGAAGTGTAGTCACTGCCAGGTCGAAGTCAGTGAATCCAATGTTATCGCCGCTGCCGCCGCCGCGTCGTCGATGCACCGGCGAGACGGCAAAGTGCGTAATTAACGGAAACCCCTTTTCCAACGCGCGCTATACTTTGGCGAGAGAGAGAGAGAGAGAGACCGAGAGACAGACGAGCGCGGGCGAGAAAACGATTTTATTTCAATTTAACGGCGTGGAAGTGTTACTCCGCGCGTGCACACGTTTGCAAACTGAATTTAGCGGAAATGTAATTTCTCTTTCCCGGGGAGAAGATACCGCTATCACTCCAATATTTGTCATAGCGCGCGCGTGTGTGTTTTCAGCTATTAAAAAAATTTGACGGAAACTAACTCCCGTTTTTCAACGTAATTATTTTTATAATTACACCGCCGTGTCGCATGGCACACAACGCGAAAGATAATTTCTTTTATATTTGGCGCAAATTTAACCATCTTCATTGCATCCGCTTTGATCGAGTTAATTCCGCGTGTGCACGTCGAAAAAAAAAAAACTCCAACGTGGCCGCAATAATATTTGAATTAGAACTTTTGCCGAACGCGAAGAAAGACTTTTCGCCGATTTTTTTTCTCCCCGGAATATTATAGTAAAGAGGTAATGAAGTAATTACTGCTGGTTTTTTGCGACTTCATTCCATTAGCGAGTGGTAATTACCCTATGTACGAAAAGTAGCTGGCTGCGTTCTCTCTCTCTCTCTCTCTTTCTGTCATCCCGCGTGTGCTCGATATTAATGAATCGTCGAGGGACGATCCAATTATTAGAGAAAAGTTGGGAGGTTAGACTTAAATACTTAAATAAGACTAAATAAGACTACAATTTAGAGCTTAAGCGTTTTCCCGCAGCACGCAAAACTTTTAATGAAGCATAGGAAAAAATGACAATCGCGTTCGACAAAGTTTGCTCTTGCAGAGGCGTTTAAATAATCTTACTTTCGCTGTGTAGCGCATTTTCCGATAAATTACTGCGATTTTTTTTTTTACCTCGTTCTCAGACAAGACTGTCCCCTTTGACCGTTCCTCGCAAATGCTCTTTGAGAAATGAAGATCTATATTATGTATTTATAATGCGAATTCGTGTGAAGTTGTGTTAAATCCTAATGGGCATGAGTAATAATGCAGCAGCCTCGCGTGTTGCACGGGGAAATTCCCGTGGGGAATTGGGATACTCTCAGCTCAGAATGGCTTAATTGTAATAATTAACCATATCGCCGACAGGGTCGCTAATTACTGACTAATAAGTATGTACCTACGGTACAGGTACTCAAATGGAGCGCCCCGCTCTCTTGTCGCAATTTCTCTTACTCGACCTTAATGTCGCGCGCTCTAATTTGATTGACAGCTCTCAGAGAAATGTGAAAGGCGGGTT